TTGAATCCCCCCCCCCCCACACTTGGGCACTGTCTTAGTTACTGGGAGACTGTATCCCACACCTACAGTTTAAAGGAGGAGAGGTCTATTTTGGCTCACAGTTGTAAAGGTTTCAGTCCATGGTCTGCTGGCTCCAAGGAAGGGTGGCATGGCACAGGGCATTGCAGGGGAGAAAGTGCTCAAGACATGGTGGCAGGAAGCAGAGAACAGTCAAGGAAGGGAAAGAGATAGATCCTACTAGGCCACGCCCCCAGTGACCCAGCTCCTCCAACCAGGCTTCAGCTGACCACATCACGACTATATGTAAACTAGTCAGTGGACTAATCCAGTGATGCATATCAAGCCCCATGAGCCAGTCACCTCCCCAAAGTTCCACCTATGAGCATAAGCCCTTGGGGGGACCACTAGATATAAACCATAACCAGGACTGGATGCATTTTCTCTGGTATGTAAGAAATCATTCCCAAAACTTAATGGTGTAAAACAAGCATTTAGCTGGGTTTTATGGTGCACATCTGTAATCCCAGCATTCAGGAGGCTGAGGCAGGAGGACTTCAGAGAGTTGGAGGCCAGTCTAGGTTATAGAGTGCATTCAAGGCCCACCTGAACTTTATAGCAAGACCCAATCTCAAAACAAAACAACAACAAACCCTGCCCCAATAAATAAATAAAACAAGCACGCACTTATAATGTTCTGGAGTGGCTGAGCAAGGAAGCCAGAATCTCAGTAGGCTGTGTCACCCTGAGGTTGGGTGAGGGTGAGAGAGCAAAAAGCCTCATTTCCTTCCACATTTGTCCTTTTTAGGGGCCACTTGGTGTTGTTGTGATATGACCACTACATCTTTCAAGTGGATAACCCAGGGCCAGCCTGCAGGGGCATCCTTGAAATGCCCCTGCAGCCAGATGCCCTGGGGTCCACTCAGTCTTGCTTGCCCTCAGGAAGGCTGCCCCCTCCCCCATCTTGAGCAGCCTTCTAGGTTCCTGTCTTCTCTCAACACCCTGTGCAGGCTGCCTGTGAGCCGCACAGCTTCCTGTACCCAGAAGCAGTCCTCTGCTGCTCTTCTGTCCAGCCCAACCCTGTGCCTGGACCACACAGATCAAATAAGTAATGGACCTGTAGAAAGTGGCCATGGCCCCAGCCCAGCTGGTCCTTGTCCCTCCCCTAACCCCTGCTGTAGCCCATTATCCAGGTGGAGGCTGGGTGGACCTTAGTTTTGTCCCTGCTCAGCCCCAGCCAAGCCTTGTTCATAGCCTAAAACATCATTCAGGTGTCCCCTGCTTGAATGGGTATTCCTGGGGCTCTGCCTGCCCCAGCCTGCCTGTGCATTCTCACCACGCCCTGCTGGCTAGTGGTCCCAGAGTTGACACATTGGTCTTAACTCCCCTGCTGCTGATGGTGAGGCTTCACACACCTCAGCCATCTATCTCTGGTGTATCTGCACCCTGTCATGCCCACGTTGCAGCCACTGTGATTTCAGCCTTGAGCACCCAAACCAGGGAGGCGAGGTCATGAACCTCTTGCCCCTCACAAGGGCAGTTCTAGAGTAGCCCAGGCCTTCTCCGGGCCAGGTCAAGGGTGTGAGAATAACAAACAGGCTGTGGTGTATGGGATGGTTGAGCCATCTGGGCTGCCTGCCAACTCTCAGCCTGGTGGGGGAAGCAGCTTTGCTCAACCTTCCTGCTGGCTGGGAATACAGCCTCCTCTGTGTGATTCAGCACTGACAGTGCAAAGCAACCCACAAGGGCCAGTGATGTGGGCTTCTGACAGCAGTGACAGCAGCAGGCCCAGCCCCAGCTCAGCAAAAGGCCACCCCAGCCCTTTAGTTGCCCCAACCTTGATTTCTTCATTTTTTACTCCAAGAGTAGTAGATCTCGTGGTCTCAAGAGGCTTTGGCTACCGTGTGAGAATACTTTCCCTAAACTGCCTGATCCATTGTTTTGTTTTTAAAAAATCTTTTAATTAATTAATTATTGCCAGCACAGTGCACCCAGGGCAGGGCCAGCATGGCATGTGGTACCGGGATCCTTGTGCTTGCCAGGCAGGCACTTAGACCGCTGTTATCTCCCCAAACTTCATTCCATTGTTCTAAAAATCTTTCAATATATTTGCTAATTGGTTTCATTTATACTACTGGTTTGTCTTAGTTTGTTGAAAAGAAAGATTTTGTGTTATTATGCTTCTTTTTTGTAAGGATATTTTTGCTTTATGTCGTAACTACTTTGAACATAATGATACACCCAGGGCAATGACTATTGTTATTCTCTTACTGATTACGAACTTTTATTTTTCCATAAAAAACATTTTCTAAAAAGTGTAAGGATGTCACCTGTCACCCATGACCCCTTCAAACCGCCTGCTGTTTCCAGAAGACAGAACACTCGAGGAAGGTGGATACTCGGACAAGAGGCCCTGGGAGGAGCCCACATCCACCTCACAGGGAGCACTCCGTTCTGCTGCGTCTGCACCCTGCTCTGCCTCTGTCCTGACCTCCCTGGGAAGTGGCTGAGACTGTAGCTGCTGTTAGGCTTACTAGCTTCCTCTGGATAAGACCAGTCCCACCTGTCCTTCCTGGGTGTTATCTTTTCCAGTAGAGTCACATCCTACATCCCCTCAGTCACTGTTCAGCCCAACCAATCCTGGTGGCCTGTTCATAGGACACTTGGCTGGCCATTCAGCCAGGCACATATCTGGGAGTGGATGGAAGACATATCCCGGAGCCCCACCTGACCTCCTGCACCTTTATCCCCATCTATAAAGTACAGGTGACAACATCATCCATGGGGTACTCCTGGCTGACATCATAGGCCCTGCTTCCGGATCCACCTTTTCCCAGGACCCAGCAGGGAATTTACACTGGTGCCACAACTGCCTACCCCATCTAGGCCCACTCCCCCACTGCCCAGCCAGCTGTGCTCAGGCACATGGGAAGGATCACTCCCTGGGACACTGTTGAAGTCCTTCAGCCTGTGCTATTCTACCTCTGTGACAAGGACTGCACGGTGGTCTCTGGGAGCCCAACAAAAGCCCAGGGGAAGCAGTTGGTGGAGGGTAACACAGTCGGCACCCCAAAGCACAGGCTCAAGTCTTGGCTGCCTGTACCTCAGAATGGCCTGATACAATTAGTTGGCCACTGCAGATATAATTAGTTTAAATGAGGTCATACTGGTGCAGGGTAGGTCCAATGTGGCTGGCATCCTGAGAAGAGGGAATGTGAAGCCAGCAGAGAAGATCAGGAGCTTGGGGAGATGTGAAGGATTCTCCCCTAGAGTCCCAAGGTGCCAGCAGCCCCCCACACGGAGTTCCACGTCACCCTGGCTCAGTTCAACGCTTTGGGGCCCCCAAAAGCGACGCCCTGCAGAGCAGGAAGGGGCGTCTTGTGTGTCAGAGTCCCGCCCTCGGGTTGCCCCGCGACACAGTGCGTGTGAAGTGCAGGGGCGCCCTCGGATCATCCAGGGATCCCGTACCCGGCAGCCCCATCCTTCTGTCACATTTCCTTTTGGCGGCTGCGCAAAAAGTGGAATGAGCAGAGGCCGGAACTTGGCCTCGGGGCTTCAGTTTCCGGCCGGCAGGACTTGAGCTCTAGGCAGAGTGCAACCCGACCGCCGCTGCTGACGGACTCCGATCGCTATGGCAACGAGGCCAGCCGGAAGCAGCTGGGCTGGCGATCCTGAGAGAAGGGGGCACGCGACAGGTCTCTCGGGTTGCCTGGGTCGCCATTCTTCGGAAGACTCGAGACCCTCAGGTCCTATCAGAGTCCTTTCGCTGGCGGGGCACTTGGGGACGTGGCCGACCCTGGCGAAGCTTGCCCTGAAGTGGGAGCGGTGAGTGGCGTGGCGGCGAGTCTAAGGCACGTCTGATACGTACGTTTCTGTGGCCTGCGCGAGAGCTGCGAAAGGAGCATCCTGCGAAGCTCCCAGTGCTTTTTCTCAGCTCCCCGAATTGTTAGCCTCTTATATAGCTGCTGTTTATCCAGACGAGGAATACCACAACATACGATTTAGGATTTACTGAAATGTTAATGTGTTTGGCATCGCCCCTCCCCCGATTGCTTCGCGCAGGGTAAGCAAGCGCCCCACCACTAAGCTACACACCCAGCCCTTTTTATTTTGTTTTGATTACGTCTCGGCCTTTTGGCTATATCAAGTGCAGTATATGTTCCTATCAATGCTTTGCTTTGAGGCAGGATCTCGTGTTGCCTAGGCTGGCTGGTCTCGAAATCGTGATCCTCCTGCTTCAGCCTCCCAGGTAGCTGGGGTTTTAGACATGTACCCGCCATGCTTGGCTTTCGTCTGTTATTGTTTCTCAACGTAGACTAGCTCCGCATTTCCTCTTTGGCTTGTATGAGGTAGTTATGATTTGTCTGGTGTTTTCCCATGACTAATTTCAAGTTATGTATTTTTGGCAAGACAACTTCCAAAAGGAAGTAGTGTCTTCAGTGCTTCCTAGAAGATACATGATGCCAGTTTGTCCCATTGCTGGTGACAGTAACTTCGGTGGCTTAAGTGACAATCTGCCAAGTAATGTAAAGTTACTATTTTCCCCTTTGTTAACAGTAAATACCTGTTGGGAAGATACCGTGAAACTGTGTAAATACTCTGCTCGTAACCATACTTTCTGTCAGCCATTTTAGCCTCTTTCATTCATTCATTTCTATATTTCATTTTAAAGTTTCCAAACATACAGCATTCCTACCTGTCTTGAATATTTTGAACCCTATACCTCTAAGTTATAAAAATGTTTCTCCTATAAGAAAACAAGGGCTGGTGAGATGGCTCAGTGGTCTAAAGCACCTACTTAGAACAAGCTAAGCTAAGCATAAAGTGCAGGGACCTCGGTTCAATCCCCAGCACCACATTCCAGCCAGCCCCGCCCCCTGGTGGGCTGAACTGGCCATACACACACAAAATAAATAAATTAATTAATTTAAAAAAGAAAAACACATTCAGTATGAAAAGATCTTTATTTCCAAATGATAAGAACAACCTCTCACACAGTAGATAAAATGAGTGTTATTGCCTGAGAGGTTCAGAACAGCAACCTTTCCAGCCCAGGCTAACTCAATACAAATTCCCAGCAGCTGAAAATGAATCAATGGACTGTAGCTCTTGCAAATTTTAGTGTATAATTCCTCTGTTCATCCCAGTGACAACATTGAAATCGCTAATCCATTTAAAATACAGCAGCATTTGAAGAGTTCCAAGTTTGTGCAGAAAAACTACATAGATACATATAAATGAAAGGTCAGGGGTGAGCCTGCCAATTTTGTAAGAACCCAGCAATTGCTGATTTTCAGTTCCATGTAGTAAATAGCATAAGATAGGAAAATGACAGAATTAACTTTCACTACTAATTGTATTAATTATTGTCTTTTTGAGACAGGTCTCACTGTGTGCTTCAGGCTGGTCTTGAGCATATATATATATATATATATATATATTTTTTTTTTTTTTTTTTTTTTGAGGGCCAGCCAAATAGTTCAGTGGATTAAAGCACCTACAAAGAAGGCACATTGGCTGGGGGTTCAATCCTCGGGCCTGCCATGCTGGTCCTACCCCTAGGTCACGCTGAGACAGCAATTGAGACTGGGCATGGTGGCATGTGCTTGTGATCCCAGCTCTTGGGAGGCTATAAACAGGCAGATCTCTACAAGTCCGATCTAGGAGTGAGACCCTGAACACCCTGTAGACCCTTCCCTAAAATACCAAAAAAAAAATTACTTATTGGTATAGGGGCTCACTACACAGCTCGGACTCATAGTGATCTTCCTGTTTCAGTCTCCCCAGGTTTCTGTTGGCTGGTTTGGCAGGCCTGGGGCAGGGCTGTCATGCCTGCAGTACTGGGGATTGAACTTGGGTCCTTGCACTTAGATTGCTGAGCTATCTCCCTGGCCCTTTGGGCTCACTTTGTAGCCCACGCTGGTCTCAAATTCACAAGAATCCTCCTAACTCAGCCTCCAGAGTGCTGTGGTTACAGGCCTGTGCCACCATGCCTGTCCTGTTTTAGTTATTAAAGTTATTAGCCATTGGGGCCAGGGAGATAGCTCAGTAGCATAAGTACCTGCCTAGGAAGCTCAAGGTCCTGAGTTCAATCCCTGGTACCACAAAATAAAGTTATTAGCCATGAAACTTAAAACTACAGTATTTTATTTTTATAATGATAAAATCTTCATTAACATAAAAAAATACCTCAGCTGGCTGGGGAGATAGCTTAGTGGTCTGAGCTCCTACCTGGCAAGCACAAGACCCAGACTCAATCCCCAGTACTGAATGGCCATGCCAGCCACCAAAATGAGGCATGGTGGCACATGCCTGTAATCCCAGAACTGGGAAAGCTGAGACAAGAAGATCACTATGAGTCTGAGCTGCATAGTGAGACCTTTTGCCAAATCAGTCAGTCAATCAATCTAAAAAAAAAAAAAAAAAAAACAGCTTTTCCTGAGGAACTAGCTTCTAAAACCTATATCCAGTTTTTTGGGTTTTTTTTCACAACCTGTTTGGTGCAAGAGAGCAGGAGTAGTGAAAACCACCACTAAATCAAAGCCAACATGGGAAAGGAAAAGACTCACATTAATATCGTCACTGTGGCACACATGGACTCTGGCAAGTCCACTGCCACCGGCCATCTGATCTGCAAATGTGGTGGCATCAACAAAAGAACCATTGAAAAATTTGAGAGGCTGCTGAGATGAGGAAGGGTTTCTTCAAGTATGCCTGGGTATTAGACACACTGAAAGCCGAACACGAGCATGGTATCACCATTGACATCTCCCTGTGGAAATTTGAGACTAGCAAGTATTATGTGACCCTCGTGGATGCCCCCGGACACAGGGACTTTGTGCCATGATTACAGGCACATCTCAGGTTGACTGTGCTGTCCTGATTGTTGCTGCTGCTGTTGGTGAATTCGAAGCTGATATCTCAAGAACGGACAGCCCTGTGAGCATGTCCTTCTGGCTTACACACTGGATGTGAAACAACTAATCATTGGTGTTAACAAAATGGATTCCACAGAGTCACCCTACAGCCAGAAGAGATACAAAGAAATCGTTAAGGAAATCAGCACCTATATTAAGAAAATCAGCTACAACCCTGACACCATAGCTTTTGTGCCAATTTCTGGTTAGAATAGTGACAACATGCTGGAGCCAAGTGCTAACATGCTTTGGTTCAAGGGATGGAAGGTCACTCGTAAAGATGGCAATGCCAGTGGAATCGCACTGCTTGAAGCTTTGGATTGCGTCCTTCAGCCTACTCGCCCAATTGATAAGCATTTGCGGCTGCCCCTCCAGGATGTCTACGGAATTGGTGGTATTGGCACTGTCCCTGTGGGCTGAGTGGAGACTGATGTTCTCAAACCTGGTGTGGTGGTCACCTTCGCTCCAGTCAGTGTCACAACTGAAGTCAAATCTGTTGAAATGTACCATGAAGCTTCGAATAAAGCTCTTCCTGGGGACAATGTGGACTTCAACATCAAGAATGTCTGTCAAAGATGTCTGGCTTGGCAGTGTTGCTGGTGACATTAAAGATGACCCACTGATGGAAGCAGCTGGTTTCACTGCTCAGGTGATTATGCTGAACCATCCCAACCACATTAGTGCTGGCTGTGTTCCTGTCCTGGATTGTCACACAGCTTACATTGCTTGCAAGTTTGCTGAGCTGAAAGAAGAGATTGATTGCTGGTTTGGTAAGAAGGTGGAAGCTGGGCCCACATTTTTGAAATCTGGTGATGCTGCTATTGTTGACATGGTTCCAGGCAAGCGCATGTGTGTCGAGAGCTTCTCTGACTATTCACCTCTGGGTTATTTCACTGTTTACAGTATGAGACAGACAGTTGCTGTGGGTATCATCAAAGCAGAGGACAAGAAGGGTGCTGGAGCTGGCAAGATCACCCAAGTCTGCCCAGAAAGCTCAGAAAGCTAAATGAATATTATCCCTAACACTTGCCACCCCAGTCTTAATCAGTAGCAGAAGACCGGTCTCAGAACTGTTTCTTCCCCACCTATAATATTCCAATAACGGAACTTAACAAAAAAAGGGTATACAGATGTATGTCCATTTTGTATCTGTGTATTCAAAGTGGTTAGGATAGATATATAGTTACACTCTCTTAAAAAATAGAGTGATTTGTTCTAATGGTGTTTGTAGATAGGATATCATGTCCGCATCTTGTACAGCAGTTAACCACTGGGAAGAATGTATGCAATGTGTTAATTATTGAAACTGTCCTACCAATTTGATTTGAAACTGTCTCATTGCTATTTTTTATCAATAAAATTATGGAAAAAAAAGAACTGTTTCTTCCAATTGGCCATTTAAGTTTAATAGTGAAAGACTGATTAATGATAACAGTGCATCATAAAACCTTTAGAAGGAAAGGAGAATGTTTTGTGGACCATTTTTTTGTGTGTATGGCAGTTTTTTAACTTACTAGTTTTTTCTAAGTTGTTAGCTTTTAAAATCCATGCTTTTTAATGGAAACAACTTAACCAAACTCTGTAATAGAATTTTGAGACCCATTAAAACAGTTTAATGAGAAAATAAGTAAATAAAACCTGTACCCAGGGGCCAGGGAGATAGCTCAGTAGAATAAGCGCTTACCTGGCAAGCACAAGGGCCTGAGTTAAATCCCTGGTTCCACCAAAAAACAAAAACAAAAAACCTGTATTCAAAACTAAGATATTAAGTTAATGGTTTTGTATGTGTGTCATTAAAATTGCAAATATTCTGACACAATATAAGAAATCAAACCCTTTTCAACATGAAATCAAATGAAATGCCATCTTTTTATTCATTTCTTAAATAGAACACAACCAAACTTATACATGTTTACTGATTATTTTAGAGGACATTCAATAAATCAGAACTCGTCATTTATAATACTGTACCTTAAGTTAGAAGGAATATATAATCCCCCCCTACAAAAATGAGATAACTTGACCCAAGATGAAAATTGTCTCTAAGGATTATATACATTAAAAATAGGAAAAGAAATTAGGAAAAAGTCAAGTGCTAAAAATCTAGAAGAGTCTAAAAGAATTCTTCAATATCTGCTTTCACCCTGACCTTTGCTTCAAACTTTTGCCCATGCTTTGAAAGCTGCAGTTATATAAACGCCTTTCAAAATGAGAAATCTTCATTGTTTTAAGCATTGTAGCATCAGGCATCACTGGGGGGGTCCCAGTTCAAACACATTTTGAAGCGGTTCATTTGACTGCAAGTGGTACTTCACCCCGATCCAAAGATCTCTCTTTTTTTTTTTTTTTTTTTTTTTTTTGGCGGCTCACTGTGTATTTTTTTTTTTTTTTGGCGGAACCGGGGATTGAACTCAGGCCCTTGCGCTTGCCAGGGAAGCACTTATTCCACTGAGTCATCTCCCCGGCCCCCCCAAAGATCTCTTTAAAGATGTCATAAGTGTGTTTTTTGACCCAGATATCAATATACATGTGTTCAGTTTCTTTTGGAAAATCTCATTCCTTGCCTGCCTGCAGGATGTCCCTAAACATGGAACACTGCTTTCTCTTGTCCTCTTTGTCCTAGTGTCTATTTCCATCTGTAGCCAAAGCCGTCAGCATCCAGAACAGAGATTCTATGTCTTTATGAAAAAAGTCACTCTCCATCTATCTAGCCAAATCAAACAGAAGCACCAAAGATTCACCAGCAGCAATTCTCATGTTTACGTCATCACAAGAAATCAGGCTTGGAAGTTTATAGGAATGCATCACTAGCCTTTCCTTCACTTTGTTGAGTGGCCATGTGGTCAGTAATAATGTCCACAAGAGAAGCAAGCTGCTGAGGAACACTGTGGAAGTGGTGCTGCAAATACCACTGGTGTCTTAGTCTTTGAGATAGGACTTGGTGAAGATGTTTTCCACACGTTCAGAGTTGAATACAGTTCAGTAATGTCTGTGGCAATAAAAGAACAAACACCAAAGCAAGTTGCACAAGTTGGCACAGCCTGGGTACTAGCTGTTCCATCACAGATTATTTTCTTTAGGATTGGCTCAAGAGTCTTTAAAATCTCTTCACTTTCAATGCCAGGGCCCAGCTGTGTGCAAAGAACAGAGGCCAACACTGCAGCTGCACACTGCTCATCACCCTTCCCTTTTTTCAGGTAGCATTCAACACCATCAGTTAATGTCATTCTTTCCGGAATAAATTCATAGAACATTTCTTTTTTTTTCCCTCCATAATTTTATTGAGAGACAAATAGCAATGAGACAGTTTCAAATCAAATTGGTAGGACAGTTTCAATAATTAACACATTG